ACTTTTCAAGGAACTGGGTAAACATTCCAACCTATTTCATTTATTTTTGTGAACAGATAGATAGGGGAAAAGTAAAATATTTTATATCAATTTTATTGACTTGGGAACATATTTAGAAGAATTTATAGGAATATTCTATTTCTCCCCACTATTTTTTATGTTATAGATCCAGAAACTGAGAGCAAGAAAAACAAATAAAAATTATTGAATCATAATTCTTTCTGTTTAGTATCAGGCCTTCCCAAAGTTATTTATAGGTACACACACACTTTTTTAAAGTATCACACCGCAGTGAGAAGGCACGGTAAAAGCAGGAAAGATGTGTTCCAATCTGATTATCTTGTACAGGAATTAATAAAAGTTTCGCTTACTCTCTCACGTACTGGATGCTAATTAGACACATTACACAGAATACAAATAAGAATTATAAATGTTTTACAATATTTTGTAGTTTTGTGGTATTTAAGGTTATTCAGATGGAGATCAGATAGAACTAAGTCTGAAAATGCCAGAAGAAATGAAGGGACAAAAAGATAAAAGGTGGTGACAATTAAAAAGGCCAATCATCTTTTGCCTTAAACATGTACAAAAGCTCAATTATGTTTGCAAACATCTTTTCATAAGGATGTGTCACAGGAACTGGGCAGAACAGTGCACCTATAAGGAAACTCCTAGGGCAATTTTTCTCCTTTTCTTCACAGAGCAATCAGATACTGCTCAGGATTCTGGTGAATAATGAAGTTGCTCCTCTGAACAATAATCGGTTACAAATGTCCCCACCGTCCCTAGGAAAGGATCTGGCCCAGATCCCTGAGATAAAGGACAATCTTTGGTACCAGTTTCCCCTCTCCATAGAAGTGGGCACTGGGGACATAGCGCTCTGTGCCAAGGCAGTGGTCAATTCGTGGATACTTTTCACAAACGGGAAACGCATATCTAGGTCACTGACTTGCTCCTTCCTTGCTCTTTAGAGAACCGAACCTTAGGGAAGGGATGGAAGCTGCTGTGGCGGATGGAGGTTTCTCAAACATGTGAATGGCTGCTATGGGGGAAAGACACCTTCAGGAAGGCGCTAGGAGAAAACCCACAATTTGGACTCAGGAGTTTTTCCGTCTACCTCTGGAATACGGCCTTGGTGCGCGAGCGCATCCCGGAGTTGTGCAAACGAACACGTCCAGCGTCGTGCCCGGCGCCCACGGGCTGAGGCGCCGGCGGGCTGGGGCTCCGGGCCGCGGCCCTCGGGTGGGGTGGGCGGGGGTGGGGTCTGCGCCCGGCCAGCGCTGCCCAACACGCACGTCAAGGAGTCTTAACCACCATGGACAGCTCACTGGCTTCCCCCAGCCAGCTGCGCGCAATTCACAAACTCCATAGGAGCCACCAGCAAGGTTGATTTCTAAGCCTGGAGAGATGCCCTGTGTTCCACGGTCTACACCCCCGGCCATCGCCTCCTGCAACCCGAGCAGCTACATACAGACCGGGCGGGTTCAGGGATTAATAAGAGTCTCCTCGCCCTCAAATCAGTCCTTTAAGGTGCCATCGGAGTCTAAGAATCCAACGGAGAGAGTTGGCAGACACAATTTCGTTCCACGTCCCTTCATTTCCTTTCCTCTCCCTCACTGGCCTTGGCTTTGCGGATCGTGTCAAATGAAATAAAACGGACCGGACCCGGGGGGCTCTGGCAGCGCCGGGGTTCGTGGGCGCTGGGTCAGGGCACTGGGACAGAGCTAGTCCCCGGGCTCCGGAAGGAGGGGAGTCTTCCCTCCACGCCCCAAGCGTACCGGACAGGGCCGGGCTGGGCGGGGGTACGTCTGCCTCGCCCTTCTCTCCCTTCATCCCCAACCGGGAATTGATCGTCACCGTCTGCCGAGGGTTTATCTCATGTTTGAGTCATAAACTGACCTGGAGGGAGAAGGAAGGGCAGGGAGAGCCCCGCTCAGAGGAAGTTCGCGCTGGCCCACGGATCCTGTCCTCGGGTCACGCTGTTCCCTCACCCCCAGCCAGATGCGGGGCTGTCCCGGGAGGAGGGGCGCACACTGGGCCAGCGACTCCGAAATACCCGGGTTCTACACACCCGCCGCGGCCAGATAGGACCCAGAGAGAAGGCCTCGATGATACTGCTCTGGGCACACCGCGGATTCCGTGCAGCAATCAGGAGTCCAGATTCTTTAGGGAAGGGAAGCCCAAGGTGATGGGAGAAATGTCTCTTAAAAGGCTAAGAGGCTCCAGGCCTCTGAAGTTTCCATCAAGCCTAAGATTGTAGGGAGCCAAGCCTGCCCCCTGCCTGTGGATGGTCTCCCCAGTGAGCACCCCCGCTTCTGTCGCAGGAGGTGGGGGTGGGGCTGATAAAGATCATCCTGTCCTCCTAACGCCTGTCTTAACACCCCAGACCCTACCCTCAGAGGCTGGCCTCTCCTTGCCGCACGGAGAGTGTATCAGGGAGACTCCAGAGAACTCTCAAACTTGCTCTTCCCAGGCTATTTTTGACAAAAATTCCAGATAAAGCAGACAGAGTCCAAAGACACAGTAACCCCCAGCTCAGAGTGATGTAGACGCGTGGCCGCATCTAAGTGTGGGTGGCTGAATGCTTTCCTGCCTGAGGGGATGGGCACCCCAGGCCCAGAGCTGCCTTAGAAAGGGACTGCAAGCTGGTCAGTGTTACAGGGGTGGAGAAGGGTGTTAGGAAGGTAAAAGGCCTCCAGGGTGGCAACATCCAGGCAACACCTTTCAGGGAGCCCTGGCTCAAAGTTTAAGAAAGAACTAGTCCATCTACAGGGGAGCTGGGCTGTGTTCAGAGATGGGTTTCAGGTTGAGGGGTTGTTGTCAGAGCCAAGAGGGCCTTGGAACTCTCTGTAGTCTCACACAAGTCCAGCACTGCAGACTTCAGGGAGCCAAGCACTTGACCTAGCACGGGCATAGAGGCACCAGTCCAGGAGATCAGAACCTAGACATTGCATATTCTCTCTATCTCTCTTACAATCATCATCATCATTGTCCCTAGAGAGAAGACTCCTTTGATATGTTTCCATGGTGATGAGCTTGGGAGACACACAAGGGCTTGACCTTGGAGAACTGGTCCCTAGGACCCCCATTTTCTAAAGACCTTCTCATTTCACCTTGCCTTGAGCTCTTTGGAAAACTGCCTCCCTGTTGGACATCCTGGTTCTGTTTGGGGGAAGCTGAACATTGCCCAGGAAGTAGGAAAGGGTGAGGATGGGTGTGAGGCCAGTTTTTCCAATGGGAGAAGCCCATCACCCTGAGGCAACTCCTCCAGACAGTAGCAGCCACTATACTCCTGGAGAAGACAGTCTCTGTTTGAGTCTTATCCTTTCCTGTCCTTATTTTGGGTTTAAAGGCATTACACCCTTTTTTTCTTTTCTGCTACACCACGGTCAGCTGGCAACAGCTCCCTCTCAAGTCTTGGTCCAGGCAAGCCACGTTCTGATGGAATCAAATGACAACATTACTTGAGCTGATTATGCAACTTCTCTATGTAAACATGGAAAGAGTTTGGAGAAAAGATGAGTTTAGTCATTTGGTTTCAGAGGATTTTAGAGATAACACTTGGAGCTACAGATTGGCAAATGCTAAATCTGGATGCTTACTTACTGGTAACAAGAGAATTCCTGAGCCCAGGTGCACTCCTTAAAAAGCTGTATATACTTATTTGGTTTGTAATGTTTATGTGTTTGTTGTTCGGGCCAAGGAGGAAAGAAAGGAGAAAGATGAAGAAGCTGAACATAAATAGTAGTTAATTTTGTTCTAAGTTATGAGAAAAAATATGCCTGGAAATACACATCAACTGGTTATTCAACATATATTTAAGAATATTACACTTTAAATACTTTAATATCTCTTTTTAAAATTGGGCTATACCATAATAAACTGCAACTGGGGAGGAGAAGATGGACGTCTGGAGCCTGCTCATGGGCTAGGCATTTGCGTAGGTGTAGATCTCACAATGCAAACTGTCTTCACATGGAAGTACTTGAGATTCAAGACAGGCCTTCAAATCCTCCCATTTGCTGAGGTGCATTTACCTGACAGCCAGGCCTAAGCAAACATGTAGCTTCTATCATAGCCTCCATTGGCACCTAAGCCAAAAAAAAAAGGTGGGGGGGCTCCTACCATATCTCACTGACAATCATGTGTTCTCAGCATTAAGGAGGTTACTTAGTTATGTTAGGAACTAGTTTATGATGTCAGAAAACATCATTTTTGGAAGAGGCAAAAAGTCAAGATCTCGGGTATATATTGAGGAGAATTTCAACTGAAAGTCATAAACAAAGCAGCTTGGAAAAGATACCTGCTTTCTAATAATTGCCTTTAGTGGGAATAGAAAAGTCTCCTTACAAGAAGTTTTTAATTCACTTAAGGTTTAATTTTACATTTTTGAGGAACAAAACAAAATATTTTTGAAAGAGACTGCTGAGAAGATCTCCCTTCCTTGGCCAGAAGAGAAGAGAGAAGATTATAAATCAAGGGAAAGGTGAAGTAATAAATTAGGAGGGAACTTTGGTATTCTGAGTATATAAAGACTATTTATTTTTCCTGTGTCTATATTTTCTCGTTTTGTGGAGAGAGGAAATTCTAAAAATATTTGATAGATGTTTTGCCATTAACACCAGAAAAGTGTGTGAGGAAAAAAGAAAGGAGGGAGGGAAAGGGGGGTTAATTTTGTTTAATTAGTAGAAAAAGCAACATAAATCAGTCTACTGATGCCAATATTTAATTTATAGTGTTCTGAGAGTAGAATGAATTTATTTACAACATAAGTCATTTAATATTTTCAGTTTGATTTTTGATTTAAACCTTTTATGGGGGCAGGGTTGACTTTTTAAAGCTTGGGTAGTTTGAAACTTGGCTAAGTACCTTTGGATTTTTTATTGTGGAAGCAAATATTATCATTTTAATGTTAAACTGCTTGGGAGTATTAAATGGCTCATTTGTGATTTACTTTTTTACAGATTTCTCCCTTCAGATCTAACGATTACATTAAAGCTCCTGCGTCTTTTTAGAAGGCATTTAGTATAAATCAGAAAGTGTTAGAGGTTCAAAGGTTGACACTTCTGAGTGCTGATAGTCTCTTTTCATGCCATGAGGAACAGGTCTCACACTTAGAAATTCTTCAACGTTCAAGGGAAGTTGTGGAAATTCCCAGAGAATTTTTTCCCCCCAGTGGGAGGAAGCCAAGTTTTTCAAAGTATGGAGTTTAAAGTAATCAACCGAAGGAGATAGAAGCTTCTGGAAGAAGTGGCCCCCACCCAGACTAAGCAGCAAACGTTAACTGCAGTGAGCAAGGGGAAAGGGGTCTAGATGAGTGAGGGAGGGGGAGAGGGCGCTGTTTCACCCACCCTTGGTAAAATCTTCGGAGCACCAGCCAGGAAGTCAGGCGTGATAATGGTCAGACTCCCTTAATCATCGCAAATCTCTAAATGACACTAACCTTCTAGAGAGTAAAGAAACCTACCAGCAGGACTGTCTAGTAGGCAAACATCCCTGGAATGGCTGCGAGCCACCGGCGCTCATTTCAGAAAGACAGACGAGCTCCCGGGGCGGTACCTGCGCCCGCAGCAATCCTTTTCCTAGATGTTACCTCCCAGCGCTTCAGAGCAGTCCTTCGCCCGCGAGGCTGCGGGAAGAACCCCCCGCCCCCCCGGTCTCCCTTCGCTTCTCTAAAGCAGAGCAGCGTACAGCTATAGTTCCGCTACATCGCCGGCTGAAGCGACTCGAATACAGTCATCCCCGAATCTGTAACCCGGGACTTTGGGGGGTGGGGAGAGGACAATAGAGTAGGGTGTCAGAGAAAAGTGGGTTAGACTCCCGGCGGAGGGTGAACAGGGCCGTCTGCGCTCCCCGGGGATGTCGGGGGTGGGGGGGGGCTCTGCAATTCAAAGAGGGGGGGTCCTCCATCCTGTGCGCGGGTTTTCTTGGACCGGCTCCAGATATCCCCAGCTGTTCTGAGACAGCAAGAAGTGCAATCTCGATCTGAAGTCTAAAACCGTTTTTGCTCTTCTAAGGAAACGATCTCTTCCTCCCTAGCCAATGTTCACTCGGCTCGTCCCAGGAAAGGGCCAGGGAGGAGGGTTCCCATCTAGTGCCCTGAGCTGCCAGGCGAGGTCAGGGTTCCTTAAAATCACAGGCCAAAGGCTCCGCGTCCTCTTCGCCTGGGCTCCCGGGCCCCCCGGGCCCCAGCCCCACTCCTAGCCTTCCTCTTCGCCCGTCAGCCCCGGGCGGTCTTGGCGCCCGCGCGTCCAGCCAGGCGCGCCGGGGGCCGCCGGCGGCCAGAGGCGGTCCGCACGCCCTCGGGGACCTCGGCTCCCGG